ACAAACTTCACTGGTAAAGCACAACAATACGAAAAATTGTTTTTTGACATCCTAAGGCCCAGTGTACATCAAAATGTACATAAAACATTATAATAAAATATCGTGCTTTATGACCATGGAGTAGCTACAAAAATACTTTTTTCATTCAGTACTAAGTATACTTGCTTGGGTCTGGAGCATGTCATTATATTTAGTACATTTCAATGTATATTGGGCATTAAAGAAAAGCGTTCGGAAATTTTGTTTTAAAAAACATATAAAACAAATCCAATCGATTAGATTGAAGGAATTTTTCTAAGTGTATTTGTATTCATAATTATTAAAGTGGAGAATATTACAAAAAAATATGTAACGATAAAACATTCTTCGATGAATATTGGATTTGCGAGGTTTTCACTCTTGAATTACTAAATCTTTGTATTTTTTTTTTCACGAAACTTTTGTAATGCAACTAATTTAGTTGTCGTAAGTTTTGAAAGGCTTTATTATACATAAAGTAAAAAAAAGATTTAACAGAAAAATTTAGACATACCAATGCTGTATTTATTTTAATTTTGTTCGTATTTGGCGCTGTTGACGTTTTTTTTATAAAATACAAAAAGAAAAACGAAAGTGCAGCCATTGCTAATTTGACCAGGGCGTAGAAAATTTGCAAAAATACTTGATTATTTGCACAAATAATTAGTGTCAATATGCCTTTTGAAAATTCAAAATAAAAGTGAAATGATAATTTTTAAAATAATTTGACAGGTTAACTGTTAGGTACTAATTATTTTATGCTACTTGTTGTTTTCATTGATACCCAAAAGATTAAGCAAGGACAAGTTTAAAAAAATTCTACATACTGGCAGTAGATATTACATGAAAAAAAAAAACACTTGGCAAAGTTTTTTAAGTATACAAAGGACTAAACAACTAAAAATAATTTAATATCCGTGTTGATTCTGGGACTCATAAATTAATTTAACAGAACTATGTATTTTCAATTTCATTATCAGTTAGAACGGGACAACAATATTTTAGATCTGTCAATTTAGCTAAGAGTTACGGCCTCAGAATCGACACTTTTGTAATGGCTATGTAATGTCAGTTTTGAAAATTAGTACAATCCATATAGGGTAAAATTTAAAGCATGACAATAGTTAAAATAAATAAAATACAATGTTAATGCGTATTCCGTTAGGTCTTTTAATTTAGTTTATTTGACATCCGTTTTTATTTAGTTTTAATACTAATTTCTATTCAAATTTACAGAGGTTATAGGTGAAAAAATTTTTTTTTCATACGAGCTTTCTAGGTTTTCGCTTTGTGCTGTAAAAATTCCAATTAACTACCATGAGTTTACAATTGTCGCTAGCGACAAGTAAATTGCTTCTCAATTTTGTGTGGCAAATTGTACAATGTCCCCTAGAGGTCATATGCAGAGGTAACATTTTGTATACCAATATTTTATACGGTCGCTAGCTACAACTCTCGTGTAGACTTATGGAAGAAGTTCCGGTTCCGCTAGATATCTTGATTTCTCTAATAGAGACACTTAAGTTTTTTTTTTTCAATACATACAGGGCAAAGTCTTTCCAGACCCCTATTAATGTAATTTAGTGGATTTATTTTTTATGCATTTCTTTTATGAACAAAAAATGCTTTTAAAACAAGTAACGTCGTTTTTAAAAATATGTTAGGCATAAGTAAGTAAATTAATTCTTTCTATTGTTTGAAAAGAATTTTGTTACTGTAAGACAATTCTTTTAATAATATTTCACTTCACTCACATCACTTGTTGGGGAAAGAATATAATTCTACCCTGCACCCAGCAAGTTTTTTTTTGTAATAAACATTTACTTTACTCGTGTTACTTTTCAGTTTTCAAGATATTTAGCGTCTCCGCAAAGTTTTAATATTTTTTCGTTTGTCACCACGTATACTGAATGTTGCCAGTTTAGAAAAACATCAATAAATTATATAAAAAAAAATACAACACACATGATTAAAACTTGCCTTCGTAATTACACTTTCGTTATTTTACATTTCTTTTAAATGGTTATAGTGACAATAAAAAGTCATATTCGAGATTCCCTGCAAAACGATATGGCATATTAAAATTAATGAGAAAAAAGTACAGTCGGCTGCTTTTTGGAATTGGAAGCTAATTTAAAATTCTTTAAATGTAAATTTCAAGATTGGTAAGGCACCGTCTCGCACATATCAAAGTAGGCCTTGTATTGAGAAAGGGTAAAAATATATTTGCTTTTTGTATAATTAAGTAGTCTTCACTAATATATCGATGCAATAGGCGTTTATAACATCTTTAGTTCCAATGATTTTCAAAAAGAAAAACAGTAAGTGTTTATCACACACTAAGACATTCAACATTCTACTCAATAACGATAAAATTGCGATTGGTCGTGACGATAAAACAATCGTACGTTATAGCCATGGATGGCGTTACTGTGCGTAGAGCGACAAGATAGGAGATTCCCCGCGATGTATAGATAATTATCTATAGATAATAATCTTTTTAATGACACTATAACCAGAATAATAATGACAGATTACAAGTCACAGTAGAGAACTGTTACCGTGCCGAAGATTCTTTGAAACTAAGGCATTTTACAATAGCTGACTTATTAAATAAAATGTAGTTAAATTAGCTAGCGTAAACTCAAAATTGTTTTATATTGCGGATGTTATAATGTGGCTCTGTTCAAAAAGTTACGTTGTCGAGACATGTTAATTTGAAAAGCGATATAAGCACACGGTATTACTAAAGGGTACAAAAAGACTTTGGAATATAAAAGCGACCGGCACTGCACAACCTTAGCCTGATTTTAAAAAATCATTTAACATCAAATAGTTGTAACGACGGTAAATTAAATAGAATTAGGTACACTTTTATATGCAAAAGTATTACTGGACCCATTTTCAAACACCGTGTATTGTAAAATCGGGTCTATATTACAAGATACGTACAACATTTAATTAATTTTAAATAGTTTAATAAGTCACCCACTGTACACACAGACTTAGGCCCTACACTACACTTACAACCACACTATGCTAATAATTTACTCCTCTCTACACCGAAAATTTGAAATAGACAATTATTTATTTTTATATATTTTACACACCCAAGTATACATGTCCACTCGACTACGAGAAATAACTGGCCACCAAAAAACAAACTACATTCGAATTTCGAAAATGCAACTTATGTTTTTTTTAATATTTTAAAATACTGTTTCGTTGCTACTCGCAAATTATTATATAAAAATAAAATAGTCAAAGAATGACATTCAATATCCTATTTTTTACTAAATCTTAAAAATAGATCTCGATCTAATACTTCTTTAGCTCGTAAACTTAAAATACTATTATATACACGCTAAATTTAATACAAGTACATGGACACTTAAAATTATACACCAAATGTCAATTTTGACAGTTTGACAAATTGTATACGTTTTAATGTTGTCGACTGTACATTTTAATAATTTGTCTGTGCGTCGCTCGCGATGAAAATTAAGAACCAATTTTGACAGATGTCAATTCATCAATTACACACTTAATATCCATCATTCATTAGCCAAAACAAATTCACACTCATCTGTCAAAATGTTTTCTGAATTCAACATCTGAATACTAAAAACAATCACTTTTTATTATTATGTCATTTCTACGTTCAGTCAACTGACGAGTAAATACACAACTTCGAATGATACAACCTATATTCAAGTATCAGAACAATGTCAATATGGCAACACTGTAAAAAAATCCACAGGTCGTTGACCGGTGCAATTTTTATTGGTTTATTTCTAGGGTCGGCGGACAAGAGCACATAAGTCAAAATCCAACATCATTCATTTACATTAATAAATCTACCGGCTAAAGGACACAAGTCAAATTAATTTGTTACTACATTAATTTGTAACTTTAATTCCAGAGGCGTCTTTTTTAAATTAATCATTCTATTCACATCTTCCAATACTATAAACAACACAAAAAATACGTGATTTATATGTTAACAAATGAAGCCCTTTTTTTACTTATGTGCTTTAGTATGCTGACCCAAGATTTTATAAGTCAAATCAGTTTTTTTAAATGTGTTCCAATGGAACTGATTCATAATTTGTTTACAGGAGTGAGATTCGAATATTTCATGTTAGTTTTGAATCATGGAATGTTATAAAATACTTGTTGATACTCCGTTTTATATAAATCAATAAGGCAATCGAACAATAATAATAAAAAAAATAAAAAGAAGCTTTGTATAATAAAGACATCGAATAAATAACCAGAAATAGAGACGAAATGTCATTTAATTTGTTTGAAAACTTTTCTGCCAAATCATTACTATGACAACTGCGCACCGATTGGTCAGCCCGAATTCGAAACAGTCATATCAGTTTGACTGATGAGTTGCCAAGGATGAATTCTTATTTCACCCTTATTTCGTCTCTATTTCTGGTTATATGCTCGATGAATAAAACTGATCATTAAATCAATATTTTTATGAAATAATAATGATTTGTATTTCTAAATCAATAAATTAAATCTAAAAGTGATATATTTTTAGAGTGCCTTCAAATAAGACGTTACAAGTGTTGCAGCCGCCTTACAGTAAATTGTAGTTCACTAATTGTGTTTAGTTCACAAATGGCGCGCGCATATCACGTAAATGGCGCTGCAACTGCGCCTCTAAATATTGTATGAAAGTTAGTAGTGGCACTGCTGAAGCGCCGTGGTGGCGCCACTGTAGCGCTTTTATAAGTGTTTAACTTGGAAGCGCCCTTAATTCGTGCAAATGTTAATTTTGCCTATAAACGTTTGAAAAGTTGTTCGATTCCCTTATCCCATATTTAGTGAACTTTTATTATATTTATTCTTTTGACAGCTACCCTAAAGTAATGAAATGTGTTAAAAAAAAATTTAGTATTTTTACTAATACTGTTTTATAATAAATATAATATAAAAACAAGTAATTTTTTATTTATATATTCGTAACTTCCGGTGGTATAATAAATAAGTTACAGTTATTCCGTTCAAATTTGGAATACTTGCTTTCACAGACGTTATTTTATTAACAGCAACACTTAAACTAATTTCATATCCGTCTCTTGTCATATAAACTTAATATTTTTATTACACCGCATCTTTTTTAAACATTGCAATTAACAAGACTAGTTAGCACAAGCGGTGGTGGGCGAAATTATTTCTTTTGGAAATCATGGAGCTCGCTTTGATGGCGCCATTTTGAAAATTCGCATCCTTGGTGTAATAAGGTCACATCTCAAAAATTTTTTTCGGAGAGACCTTTAGCGAATGTACGAACGAATTCAGTTGACAACTTTTTAAGCTTAAGCGGGAGAGTAATAAAATTTCTTGTTTTTAGGACTTTCATGCAACAAAAACACTTGCGACATATATTGCATTAAAATGGATGTTATTCGAAAGTTGTACAATGTATCTAGTCATTAGAAACTTGATAAATCCAGATGGAGAGTCTAGAATATTCGAATTCAGCTCCAGGAAATTCGGTAGAAAATCCGGTAAAATGTTCAAAGAACCGTTTGAGGTTATATCCGGGTCTACAGAACTGTCTAGGTGTAGCTAAGTTACTGAAACATAATCGGAAGATTAATGTAGTGGCTTTCTTTTAACTGTTGTTAACGATGAACCGTTGTGCTCACTAGCCATACCGTAGTTAAATATCAATATCCTCATCAAATCTTAATCCGTCGTCGAATCCGAAAAATCCAGATCCGGCAAACCCGGATCCCGTGATTCCGGATCCGGAAAATCCGGGTCCGTATCTGGGAAATCCTGATCTGACTGCGGGAAATCCGGGTCTGAATCCGGGAACTCCGGGTCTGAGTCCGGGAAATCCGGGAAGAGTGCTAGATGAGCTTGGTCAGGAATGAGTCCACCGTTCTTCGAAGAATTGTCTCATATTGTGTCCGGCTCGGCCAACTGGACTGTCGTCCTCGTTGAAAACTTCGCAGTTGCTGAATATCAGACGGACGTCGTTCGCGAACTCTTCTTTGCATTTGTAGCTGTAACAAAATATTATTCAATTTCATTCTTATTTACGATTTTGTTATTTTTGGCGGAAATAGCTGCCAGTCTTGTGGTTACCGGAGACTTCTACAAGACGATCCGACAGCTCGTTCGCTAGAAGTTTCGCCTGTGGCCCCCAGGGACTCAGGGTTTCAACCGCAAAAGGCACAGAGCTGTAGAACTGGGCAAGCTTGGCGTATTTAAGCAAACAAAGAATAACTTTAGCACCCTTGCGAAAATTTTCTATTTATAAACTTTCATATGTGTAATACATATGCATATATTCTAAAATAGACGGAACAGCGTGTATAAAATTGAACATTCTATTAATTAAAGACATTTCGTTATTTTACATTGTTTCAAAAGGAACTGCATACATTTTTAATATTATTGTAATGTTTATTATTTATATTAATTTTAATTGCTTTAAAATTTAAACACGGATTTTTTGTACATTCTAATTTGTCATATAGGCAATGCCATCTACCTCTTCTCGGGCTCCAAGTGAAAATCAGCGCTGTATCTCTGCCCAGCATTAAGCTGAGCTGGCTAGCCTTTTCGGCTATTGTTCTGTGTTTTCATATTTCATTTTAATTTTAATTTAGATTCTTTGTATATTTTATTTGTACCTAATAGCCGAATAAATGTTTCTTTCTATTTTGTAGATTGTATTATTTTTGGACTCGAACCAGCGATCTCGCCACACCGAGCTTTCGCTCTCCCAACTGAGCTACAAAACGATTCAGACTAGTTGAGTAATTTCACAAAAATAATTGAATACCGTAGTAGTAGTAAATTATAAAACGTGATAAACATAATATTAAATCAATATATCATACAATCATGTCAAACACCTGCGGCCTAATTTTTCTAGGAACCACTTGTCCTTGCAATTCCATTGAGATTCCTCAGAGATTATATTGCAATTACGATAATATTTGTTATTCTGCTAAAATCTAGTTGCAATGGCAGTTGAGTCACAATACTGTCGGTGGCAGGGCAGTGACGGCATGCATTCTTTCAGTCACTAACTATTGATGTTGCCTCACCAAAACCACCATGTCTTCCATGTGTCTTGCACATAGGTCTTTGTTCTACAGATGAGTCGATCTTATTTTTTGTTAAAGTATTACCTGTTATCCTGGAGTTTCCTCTTTATAGTGGATAGATCCATGGGGGTTTTGATGACCTTCTTGTACTGCGGAAACTGTTTTGTGTTTACTGGTATGAGGAACGGCCATGCGTGCTCGTGGCACTCCATCTCGCACAGGAGGTTTCTGAGGAAGAGGAGAGAGGTTGCATGTAGTCAAATCCTCTTTCCAACACAAAAATGATCATCGAAATTTCACAAATGTCGGAGTAATTGCATAATATACACAAAAAAACAGTACAGAGTACTAAAAAACCGACCTCAAAAGTCATTCATCCCCTAGTTTGCCACCCTTAGAGGTGGAATATTTTCTTGAAATTTAATTTCATAATTAAAATCGGTTCACGTAACATACGTACAAAAAACACAGTCGAATTGAGAACCTCCTCCGTTTTTAAAGTCGGTTAAAAGGAAAAGTAAGAGGCGCGCATTTACGTCTAAAACTTACTTGCAGAACTGCATATCTTTGACTAGCTTTTTGGCACTCATCTTCTCCTTCTTCGCGCGAGACACCAGCGGGAGGTTCTCCAGAACGTTTTCGGGATCTGAAATATTTTGAAAATTGTATCTCTTTCTGCGTATTCAAGAAACAAAACAAAGGTGTATGATGTTGCACAATAACAGCTTAAATATCTCGGTCTGGAATAAAGACTAGCTTTGCTCACTTTGTATTATGAGTTAAATTAAGCATAAAAAGTTATCGATCAATTTCGTTTGTTGAACTCTGAAACCTCTCTCCTAAGACGTGGTAATTTTACATAAGGATGCGATTACTTCCCTCTATTTTTTTTTCACTCATAGCCTTGCACTAGGTAAACCCTGTGTCGCGGGTGCTAGACACACATATAGACAACCACAAATTACACCCAAACTCACGAGAGAAATAAATATAGGCCATACAAATATTTCTACCGGCCCGGGAATCGAACCTGGGACCTCTGCCTGACAGACCAGTATAGTAACCGTTCGGTCACGGAGGCAGTTAATGGTAACAAAATATCATCTTTGGTTATGCTCAAATCATAGGTTCGTCAGTTTATAATTTTTGGATATTTTTTTTCATAATATCAAGTGACGGGACGAACAAGTCGTGCGTCTGATGGTAAGCTACACGCATGTCTATGACAGTTGCAGTGCCACTCAGAGCTTCAAATCTCAAAAATCTGAAGGGCACTGCCATTGCGCCCGTCACCCTGAGACATAAGTCGACTAGTCCCATGCGCCTGTAATTTCACCATCATAATTTGGTATAAAATCACGCATTGAAATACTATTTCAACTCCGAAGGATATATTATACTTTACTCACCGTCCATTTGTTCGCCATCGTCTCTCTGTACAGCGCCGTTGCCACCGACGTACTGCAGAGCACGTTTCTTCTCAGGCGGGGGACCTTCTTCTGAGAAATCTGGTGGTGCTGTAAATTTCATACAATTAAATAAAAACGAGAACGAACGGTATATGAATATAGGTATGGGTATCGATTAATCGGAATAATCGATATTTTTGTGTAATACTCGATGTTTTTTCAATCGATGCCATTTGTGCGATTAATCGGGTAATCGATGATTACATACCGATTTTTGCTAAAAAAATAAAACTATATTTCATAAAAATATTTTATAAACATGTTAAAATTTGGGAAAAAACAACCGCTTTTAAATCCAAATGTCCATTATATTTAATGCTACTTGCGCGCATTATTGTGGCACCAGAAAGATGGTTTACATAAGCTAATCATAAAATTTATCTCCACCGCCTTTGAAAAATTTATAATTTTTAACTGCCTCTGTGGCCGAACGGTTGCCGGACTGCCACACAGGTTCGACTACCGGGCCGAGAGAAATATTGGTATGGCCTACATTTATTTCTCTCGTGAGTTTGGGTGTAAGTTGTGGCTGTCTATGTATGTGTCCATAGCACCCGCCACACAGGGTTTCTTTCCCTAGTGCGGGCTATTGTTGAGTGTGTGCGTTATTATTATTATTATATTTAATACTGGTGTTTACACTACTATGTTGTTGTAATTTGAAATAAAACGAGAAATGGGCGTCGTTTCATTTAAAAAAAACTCTTTTTGTCGATTAATCGATTTTTTAAGCCACGATTAATCGGTACATCGATCGTTTTCGATGGTCAAAAAAATCAACGCTTTTTGTTCATTCCCAGTATTCTAGGGATGGCCTAGAATATTGGGAATGAAACTACACTCCCGGACACATAATTCGAGCTACCTTGCATTTTTATCCTTAAAGGACTAGAATATAATAAAAACATAGTCGAAGAAAAAGTTTCCTCCGGATTTTTAAATTCGAATTTTCAATAATGACTTACGGATATGACGTTTAGTCAACGAGTATATGTTTAGTATACCAGTTTCAAAGTTGCATAAATAGTTCTTGATCAATGAAGCGTTGTTTAAGCTAAGGGCATTTAATATTGAAAATGCAAGGTGGCTCGAGTTATGTGTTCGGGAGTATATTTTTCGGTCATAAGACCCCAAGTCCTGCTAATTTTAATTCATCTCAGCTGTGTGTCGAGTGCCAATGGCTGGGTTAATTTTCAGGTTAGTATTATCTACCAAATATCAGTAACAATTTTTTTATTGAAGTATTCGAGTATATTATTTTGAATGTTATTTAATATTTCACGATACTACACTCGAATACTGCCATCCACTACCTAAAACGCGGCTAGGTGACAATTGGTCATATATACATTTTAAGTAGCAAAAGATAGAGTACTTTTAAAAACAGTTAAAATTAACGTGTTCGAGTTATCAGAACTTACCCTAACGATGCGTAGCTGAAATATAATTAAACAGTGATTTCAACTTTCACGATTTTCACGCATTATTTGTTTTTGATTCGTGACTTAATCACGTATAAAACATATTTTAATTACTTCGACGTTTCGGACGTATTGCAACGTCCATGGAGTCGATGTCGTGAGTGTTGTGTAGTGAGAACTCTAGTGCACAAATAAATAATGAAGATCAAGTGCGGGTAGTTAGAAAAACTCGCACGGCTAAAAGATGCTGACACCCGCCTCTTCAGTCCCTTCGAGGCCATGGACGTAATACGTCCTAAGCGTCAAGGTAATTTAAGTATGTTTTATACGTGATTAAGTCCCGAATTAAAAATAGAATAATATCATTAAACAATTTCAATATTCTAAAACTGGGTTACGGTTTTTATGATATCTCAAAAAATTCTTTTGTCATTTGGCCGATTTAGTTAGCGGATGGCAGAATTTTTTGTATAACAATCGCAAAAACCTAAGATATAATAGACCTTAAAAACTACAACGAAATTAACTATAAGGTGTATCCACAATGTTAGTTTGTTCAATCTAGTCGACAAGTCGCGCGTCGGATGTTAAGCGACACGCCTGTCCACAGCAGTTACAGTGCCATTCAGAGTTTTAAATTGCCAAGATCCCCTGTCACCCTCATGTAATTTCACCAGCACCCTTACCCTTCCAAACCGGAACAAAATAATACTGACATTAGTGCTTGGCGGCAGAAATAGGTAAGGTGGCAGTACTTCCTGGACGAACTCACAAGGACCTCTGCTGCTTCTTCATAACAATATTCTAGGATATTTAAATAATAAAACTTGCTACCGAAATTAGGTACAGAATACTAACCTGAAATTAACCTTGTAAGTTTCGTATTCTGCTGGCCATCGAGCTAATGCTCAACTGCCATTGCAATTTTTTTGGTATTCTGTTCTTCAATGGCAAGTATTTATGGCAATTATATGACATAAAGAAAATACGTTTATTTCGACGACTACTTGTTTCATTTCTTTTGTATAACAATCGCGAAAACCTAAGATAGAATAGACCTTAAAAAGGTGTATCCACAATGTTAGTTTGTTCAATCTAGTTTGGTTTTTTTACGAGACTTTACAAACTGTCAATCAAAAACCAACATTACCTGGATGGTGATTGAGTCCGTTTTCGGGCTCTGCGATTGGCTCGTCGACCTTGTCGGGCTCCTTCTCGGGCGTGGCCAGGGCGCTGGCCGGGCACTCTTCCGCGGTCGTTGACGTAGACGCGTGAGACGGCGCGGGACTGCACATTAAATAACACTAGGGTCAGTTGGGTTGAAACGAACACCGGTGGAAGAGGAACTTGAAGCCTTAACTGGTTATAAAGAATTTAGCACTATAATCTCTCAGTCGATAAAACAGACAAATTAGTTTAAACTATTTTAAAGAGATGGCGCTACGATGCTTCAAATGAAAAAAAAGCGGAAAAGACTAATTCCATTACCCTCACTCCGCGTAAAATTAATCATAAACACGGTAGTGACACGATACTGTCCCACCTTTTTTTAATCGACTTCAAAAAAAGGACAAAGTTCTCAATTCGTCTTTATTCTTT